TTAATTGGAGAGAGAGAGAGAGAGAGAGAGAGAGAGAGAGAGAGAGAGAGAGAGAGAGATGTAATAAGAGAGAGAGAGAGAAAGAGACAGAAAGTTGAATGCAATTTAAGTTTTCTGGAAAGTCTACTGCTGAAGCCTCAAAGCTTCTTTTCTGTTTGATAGAAAACTTAATAGAATTATACATCCCTTAAAGGATAATAAAACCACATCTAGCGACAGCCACCCAAGAAATGTGGGTTATGCTGCATAGCTGAGGCTAAAGATCTGCTTTGCAGTTTGCACTGAAGCAGAGGGTCAGAAATTTGGAACAGGATGATGAAGTCATTTTTTTACTTACAAGGTTTATTCTTCCAAAGCACAAGCCTTTGCCTTGCCCAAATATTAATATCATCTTCTCCAGAGTAGATCAATTTAGCCAGAAGAGATAATCCAGCAATTGTGAAAGAAAGCAAAGGAGTTATTGCGGTTAAGAGGATCAGGATGAGGTTAGTGCTCATCCCACCAGAGACATCATTTCTAATGCTAATATCATCCACAATGACAAGAGAAGAGGTCTTGAAAGACAGTGACTTTATCTAATCCTCTGGTATTCTTTCCATCAGCGGCAGTAAGCCTACCGATTAATATGAGATACAAAATTGATCTGGCTTTCTGCAGAGGGAGAGAAGGGTACGGTGGTGACAATAACCCTTGACATCCATTGTCTTACAAATATCTTGATCTAGAGTTCAGCAGCCAAAGGTATTATGAAGACATCTCTCTTTGAAGACCAGCTCCAGTTCGGAAGGTGCCTTTCACAAAGTGACTTCTAGTGGGTTCTCTCCTAGACTTGTGGATAATGAGTCACGGAAAGAAGAGTGCTACAGTAGATGGCTGAGTCTGAGAGATGTACTTCATGAGCCTTATGGGAAATTAAAATAGCAAACCCAATTGGCTAGATTAATTATCAGTGTTCACAGATGTTGCTACAACTCTGACACCTCTTTCTGATGCCTTCCCACCCACACTGCATATCATCACATACAGATGTGATATAGTTAGTGACAGTTCAATCCCCTATGAGAAAGAATAGTAATCAATGTATTTTAATGTTCCTTTGCATTTGCATATAGCGCTGTTTGGAAGCCAAGAATGATATCAGTGTTGTGCAGAATATATGATTAAACTGATAATGATATTCATACAGTATTATGATTTAATATATCCCCTTTAAACATAAAGGCTTTAATTATAATGACTTTGCTTAAGCCATAAACTTTTATGATTAAGGTGATGCATTAACTACTGGCCCCATACCAGGAACTACACCAGATGATACTTATGATTTCACTATACAGAGGTGAAAACCTCATGATATTCTCAGGTTATTCTAATCAATACCCCAACAAAAAGATTGAAGGATTTAGTTTATATGTATGTATTAACATTTTTTCCCACTGTATGATAGGATTATACTGAGAAAATTAATGTGCACATGGATATGCTGTACAGCAATTTCTCAGTTACAAAATGGTGGCATTGCAGTTATATAAGTTGCTGACTCATGCTGGTCATTGTCCATGCAGTGTCATCATAGGCTAAAATAACGCTGAGTTAGGATTGGAGGCAGAAGCAACCTGGTTACATGGCTGAATTAGCTGTAAAAACAAGGGAGAGAATTATGGTTATTTTTTAGAGAATGGAATGCCTGAAATCTGAGCTTACTTTGTTTTCCCCCTAGAATTTATTACTGACATTCTATCATATATTTCTTAAGCAAAACAATTCAGTGACTTACATGAAAAAAGATCTTATAATGACCTTGAAGGAGACCTTTTTGGCAATCAGTATAGAGTTAGAAGAAAATACATTCCAAGTCTGAACAGATAGCACTTAGAGACTGAGACAGAAATATTAATATCCAATTGAGAGTCAAATCCAAAATTCAGTGAATATATTCCAAGATGACAGACCTCTTAGATGTATTATATATCTCCCTGGAAGCTTTTTGTATTTTTAATTTATTCGTAACTGGAAGTGCATAAAGTAATACCTCCTAAAAGAAGCTTTGTGATTTTTCAAGAGGTCTGCACATCACCCAAGGCCCAAATTGAAATATTCATAAATCTATAGCTTACTTTTATTTTTGTAGCAAATGTTGATTGATTGATTATGTGCCATCAAGTCAATGTTGATTCTTAGAGACCACAGAGATAGATTTTCTCCAGGATGATCTGTTGCTAACCTGGTCCTTCAGGTCTTCCAATAATGCAACCATCACCACTGTAACTGAGTCCATCTACCTTACTGCTGGTCATCCTCTTCTTCTCTTTCTTCCCAGTAATAAATGTTAAAATGAAGAAAAAGGACAAATTTACATATCTATAAATTTGGTCTAGATGTATCCTTGGGATCAGGATTGATTCTGACAGGATTTGACATTCTGAATAAGGTGATATAATGATCAGGACTCTAAACTGTTCCTGTTCAGAAAAGGATTTCCATAACAGTGTCACATCTATCCATCATTAAAGATAGTTCAAGAGCTATCCACCAAAATATAAAAGGAAATATATCTTTGTGTCTCTTCTCTCAGGCCAGATATGTAAAATTATTATGTTTTCCCCTCCTTTCTTTTTAACAGGTTCCTTACATGAATACGAAAGAACATTTAATCAAAATTTGGAATCCTTGGGGCTCTATGGAATGGAATGGAGCTTGGAGTGATGAGTATGATTTTCAACCTTTTCTTTCTTAAGAATGCTGACTCTCTTGAGATCTTGGAATGGGAACACTCTTTTAAGACTTAGCATGTAGGGACTTGGCATAATAATACTTTTGCAAGAGCTAATCAGGTAATCGAAGGGTCAGCATTTCATGCTCTGTATTAAAATTCAAGGAATCCCAAGACATTTCCATTTCATTTGTCTTCACGCAGATTATGCCAGAGTTTACCACTTCTGATTAATTGTCCCCTCCCCCCCCCCAGATTGAATTGTTACTGCAGTTTGTACTTAGAGGCCAATTTAAATTGAATAGATGACAACTTTTATGTAATCTATCTTTACAAAGCCCCAGCCAATGTGGTCTGTGGGCAAGGATACAGAAGTCATAAAGCCAAATCATCTAGAGGGTCTCAAGCTGGAGATTGATCTATCAGTTGCCCTAAAATGCTTGGAACGTAGCTGTAGAAGTAGAGGTCTTCTCTGTTTGTCTTCTGTTGTCTTCTCTGGTGAGGGGATAATAGGAGGTGTCAAGGAAAGCATCATGACAGCTGCTGTTGTTGCCAGCAAGACCACAGACAGTAGGAAATCTATTATTTATAAATATAAGTTAAAAATTTGGGAGGAGAGGAAACCAACATTGCAACCTGCCACCATAGTAAATGGTCCATCTCAGCTGCTAAAATCATTTGCAAAATTATAGCTCGGAGAAACTGAAATAGCTCCCTTTAGCCTTGCCAGCTATTCAATTTTGGCAGGTTATCATCTGGTCTTAATTTCAGACATTGTATAGTATTTTCCTTCATCACATTTAGAAACAATTTGCTAGAATTACCCTGAGTTCAATCCAAAAAAACAAAACAACAAAAAAAGCACTATTATGTCTCATTGCTTTCCATGGGAATAATTTTGCATGATTTTATTGACATCAGTAAAAGTTAAAAGAAAAAAAAAAACTTAATGGATTGTCATTTTCCCTAGCACTCTATGCAGAAAACAGAGAATGATCAAGTTGGATAACATGGACCATTTTCTGGTTTTAAGATTTGGGAGCAATATTATAGTTTTGCAGCTTCTTTTTTATTGGTGCTACTAATAAAACTCTTGCTGAAAAGCATCAGGGAATAAAATTTCCTTGAAAATGTTGCTGGAGCTCGACTAACTTCTACAGCCATATTCAAAAAGTTAAAGCCTAATCTGGATTCCATTGAAATTTTGGTGAAGCGGTCTTAAGTTGTGTGAATCAATACAGTTATTGATTCATGCCTAGCTCATGCTAAGCAGACAACACAATTATCACTTAATTATAAAATTGCAGCTTGGGAATTAACACAGTTAGATAGCTAATTCTCTGTAATGAGTTTGCTGAGAGGTAATATCAGAAGTCAGAGATGGAAAGAATTATTTTCTTAATAAAGAGGCCATCCAAGACTATTCTCTAACCAATGAGAACATTGCCATTGACCTTAATTGAACCTGACCTGCATTTCAAGCATCCTAGTATATAAAAGCATATCCTCAGTTCTTGATGATGGTAGACTTTTTATTCCCAGCAAGTCCAATTCAAATTCATCAGTGACCAGCCCATGACTGACCTGCATAACTAAATGCTAGGTTTTTAAAAATCACTCCCTCTGAGTTTTTCCTCTGGATTTTGAATTTCTTAATTAGATAGTAAGGGTTCCAAAATACATTTGAAATGCTTAGTCGTTCGCTTTTCAATTCCAAAATTTTATATTGAGAATTGCACATGCACAGCTACATATATCTATGGTTCTATGATTCTATGGTTCTATGGTTGTTTGGGTTGACTTTCATCAATGGGCACATGTAAACACATGTAAATTAGTAATGGGTTTCTTCAATCCTTTACTCCCATCCATCTACTGTGGTCCATATGATAATCATAGATTTGACATTCCTCATATGATAGCATACTAAGTTGCATCAAGTTTCATTTTCAGTGATATTTTTCCAGTTCAGTTGCACACCACTCCTCAGTGCCTAAATCAGAATCTTGGTATGATCACGTCAGTCACATCAGCATGGTTTGCTTAGCAATGTTTTGACAATGCCCGCAAGATTACAATAGGAGCCAAATATGCAAATAAGGTGAAGAAACTACAGCTTCATTTCTTCAAACAATCTTAGATTTGTGGAACTGGGAGTCCAGAGGAAAGGAACCAAGTGGAGAGTGAATCCACATATACATAGTCCTTGGGTTATGACCACTCGTTCAGCAACTGTTCAAAGTTGCGACTGCGCTGAACAAGCGGTATTTATGACTGGTCCTCAAAGTTCTGGCCATTGCAGCACCCCTGTGGTCACATGATCACAGTCTGCCTGGCTCGTGATTATGACATCACAGTGAGCTGTGGTCATGTGATCACAATTTCTGATGTTCCCTACCAGCTTCCCACAAACAAAGTCAGTGGGGAAGCTAGCAGGAAGTTGAAAGTCGCCCCTGTTCCCACCATTTTTCACCCACCCATGCTCTGTAGTGCCTGCCTACAGTGCCTGCCTGCAGCACCTGCACACCCACCTGCACTCCAGAGCACTTGCCTGCAGTACCCCTGCCCCCAACAGCACCTGCACACCTACCAGCCTGCTTGCCTAGGAATCTCACCTCTTCCTGCTTAATGACCCACATGGTCCTGGGGTTATGACAGCGATGACATTGCATTTTATGATCACATCACTTAGCAATAGAAATTCCGGTCCCAATTGCCGTTGTAACCCAAGGACTACCTGTAATAATAAAGGACAGGAGAGACTCATGCATTCTTTCAAGAAATGGGAGAAAACTGCCCTAAAGAGCACCCCTTGCCCAGCAATTTGTCTAATATCTGTTGTCCTGACAGGATTATACTTTGCAACTTCATTACATCATTTGCAGGAATCAGCACAAAGGAGAACTGAGCAAGGACTGCTATTGTTTTCAACGCTTTTGCTTGGAACAATTGGTTAGGATGTATTTGCATCAGCTCTATTTTCCAGGATCTATTTTATTCACCAGATTCACTTCTGCGTTTTGTTGCAGAAAGCTAACTCATTAGAAAAAAATTCTCTTCCCCTGTAATTATTTTTGCAATTTTGTTGTAAAGGTCACACTAGCATTAGAAGCCGCGGAATGAGGCAAACTGAATCCGGTAATGAAAAGAGTTCCACAAACCCTAGTAGTAAAGCAGGCCAACCTCACAGCCAAATGAAAAAGTTACGAAGAAATACGTTGAACAACTCAATCTTTTTGCACATAAGAAATCCAAAATAAAAAGCACACTTTGGGGGGGAGCATTTTCTTTGGTACAATTCTATGACACTTGGACTTCAACCTTTAGATGTGAGTCCTGGAGGATACCAATTTGAGGAAGCCTCCCACAGTGAGTCAATCTATCCTTTTTTCTGTCATAAATGAAACAATCTCGATCAGGAGGAGAATGACTAGATTAATATAGTACTTATAAAAAGCATCTTGCTTGGAATTGGACCCTGTCAGCCAGCTTTATCTGTTCTTATTGAAAAGAAAAAGAGGTGCAGAAATGGCTGCTTAAGCGCCACATTGGAGGGAAATGGTGTGTTGGTGCCTAAAATCATAATGGAAGGATGCATGGAAAGGTCGATAAGGTACTGTCACAATGACAAGACAATTGGTATCTTTCATGTGATGTACGATTTTGACCTCTTTTACAGTTCTGTGGAGTGGGATCGAGTCCCTCAACAATTCAAGACAGAATTCTATGTGAACAGGGTTGATGGCGAATTCTGGTATTGTTACATTTGTGAAATAGGCTTTTATGGATTTCTCTGTGCTTTACATTGCATACAGCAAAGCTTGCTCTCTCTGTCTGTCTGTCTGTCTGTCT